CTCATTGCTAGCCTGAAGTTGCACTAGAAGGGCCCTTTGTTCCTCAACAGATTCATTCGGCCATCGATCCCTGCGTGGATATCTTGGTTGCTCGGCCATGTTACCCAGTGCTGGTTTGAAATTTTGAAACCAAGTACTCCACGACGACGGCGTCGAAGCAGTATTTTTATTGTATATTTTTTATTCTGGCCTGTCAAATGTGACCTGCCAGGACATCAAAATCATAATCTAGCCAATTAGAACAACGCACATGTTTCCATATGGGTTCACATCGTACGGATATATATAATCAGATCAAGTCAAAATATGGCCGGGAGGGAGGGCAATTGGGAGGGAGCAAAATCTCGAGTTTGGCCACTTGGTCGACAAAGACTTAAAAATACATGGGACAAGTGGGACAGAATTACAAGAGAGACGCAGAGCCTTCCTGCTATGTTCTGCGCTAGCAGAATCTGTCCCAAATTTGTCCCATTGGTCCCATTTTGTCCCGGGACAGAGTTCCAAACTCGAGTTCACTCTTCTTGATCTTGTCTCACTAAAGAGTAACTCGCGCGTGAGCGCGATTGGAGAAGACGTAGTCTTCGAACATCGTAATGACCCGCAAGGGTCTGTGAAGGCCCCAGCCTTCTCCCTCTCTATTGTTTTTTCACTACAGAGTAAACCAAGGCTACGAGTTCGACTAGAGTTCTCAACCATGCAAGCAGTCGCATTGAGATGGCAATACAACGTATGGTTTATGATGTTCCCTTGCGTGTTTACATGTGTGCAATGCGATTTGGTGTGAATAACCAGTTGACGGGCTCAACGACTACTGGTAGTTATGCTTGTACATGTACAAGGATGTGCTAGCTAGCTATTTGGGTCAGAGTGACGGGAAAATCCACACCTAAAAGTACAGGTTTAAGCCACTACGTGCGACTTGCTCATAGTGCATGTAAATCGCTACAGCTGTGTCGATTGCAACGCCTACATCGTTTATAACCCCCCATGGCCTCCTGTCCCCTCCACAACGATTTTGCTTGTAGCTTACCTACATGTGAAAGCACACAACCACGATTCTACGAGGTTAGAGCCACCATTCACGACATCGTCACTAGCTTATAGTGTATGAAGATCGCCAGGATAGCAGCGACTGCAATCCCTACACATCCAGAACCATTAGGTATCCCACCTTCCCCTAACAACATTAGACTTGTAGCATCCCCCAAGCCAAATAGCCTAGCACACCCTCTATTGTTCTTAACGCTCACTCGAATATACAAGTAGCACTGTCTAGTGCATGTCTCATCCACTACATATCGCCTAATCCTGAGAGAATTGAACTACAGTACACAATATCTCGCGCAATGCCAGTTGTTTGTTGTGCTCTGTGATATGTGGGATGTTGGAATTCAGACGATAAATGCTTGTCACTAAATTTATGAGCCAAGAATGAATTGAGTGAGCACATTATGCGTTGTAAGACACACAGTGTACTAGGCAACTCGGATGGGGGGATGCAACAAGTCGAATATTGTGAGGGGAAAGGGGGATACTTAAGGGTTGTCGAGGTGTAGGGGTTGCAGTCGCTGCTATCCTGGCGATCTTCAGTCATGATGTCGTGAATGGTGGCTCTAACCTCGTAGAAGGATGGTTTTGTTCTTTCACACGTAGATAAGCTACAAGCACAATCGTTGTGGAGGGGACATGAGGCCGTGGGCGGTTAAACGATGTAGGGGGTTGCAATCGATACAGCTGTAGCGATTTACATGCACTATGAGCAAGTCGCACATAGTGGCTGAAACCTGTACTTTTAGGTGTGGATTCACCGCCACTCTGACCCAATTGCTAGCATTTACACGAATAACTAGTGTTGAGCTCCACGCACAGCTGTACATTTTACTTCTTAACTTTCACGCAAAGTCACATTGCACACACATAACGCATACTAGTACAAAGGAATATTACAGGGCTACGTCAAATTGCTAGCTCAACTGCTGGCATGGTTCAGGACTCTAGAATGCTTGTCTTGCCTTAGAGCATCTCCACCCGACAGTTTTATAGTTCAGCTTTTTGCGGTAACCTTTAGATAGGACCAGTCTTGGTCTTATGCTCCCAGCCGTTGGCTTTATCCGGGTCTAAATAAAGCCAATCATAAGAGCAGCCCCGGAAAGCCCTATCATAAGACGTTTTCGCCAAAATCTTTATGCTATCCGGACAAGTAATATAATTGAAAATAATATGCAAATTCAATATTAGTAATAGTAAAACACAGTACACTACGCAACATTTACAAAAATTCCCATTCAATTTACACAAGTTGCACTTCCGACGCCGCCAGCATGCGGTCAGCGGAGTAACTCGACTGGAACGGAAGGGACGCGGTGGACTCCGTAGGTGAGTGTATCTGGGACGTCGTCAAGGACGCGCTCTCAGTGTGAAGCAGCGCCAGGTCCAGTATAGCGGCGTCGGCGAGCTTACCCGATACATGGCAGCGGTGACGGCGCTGGACTGGAAATGTTGGCACAGCTCGACTCATTCTTCCCTCCACCTCCCATCACGTTGCGCGCGTTTATGATGGCGCTGTCTGCTTTCTTGACGCACATGCAAGCACACACGACGGACGACAGCGTGCGTCGGCGGCTCGCGGGGTTTTGGCGGGCGCTTATCGATGCCTCTGCCCGACGCAGGGGTGACGCTCGAGATGTTGCTGGCGGCAGCATGGGCGGCGTGTATAGGGCGCAGGCCGTAAGTTGGCCGATGCGGTGGTGGACGTGGAATACGACAGGCCCGCGTTGTTGCGCGCCGGCCTTGGTAGGTTCATTGCCAGCGCAATAGTTGCGTAAGTAGTGCGCAGGCGCAGAACGTCGATGCAAGACAATACGCATATAGAGAGGTTATGTATGTATACGCGTACGTGTTTTCTAACTTCCAGTCATGGTGTGATTCCACTTAGAACTGGAGAGCCCAGTGGGTCTGGGCTCTCGCGTTCGACAGTGGCATCACGACATTGATTGATGCTCTAAATATCAGGCAACAAACTTGCGGCTATCGTCCTGCGAACCGCTCCACTACATTGACGGTTACTGTTAACACCTGGGTGAAGAAGTGATCGCGGTGGCCTAAGTAAGCGATAAGTTGATGTTCATCTGTGTTGGAATCCCTGCGCAAAATAGTTACTAGGTATTGGTGGAACCAGCATAAGACTCCCCTTTATCCGTACATTATCCGTAAAAAGCCATGTTATAAGACCCAACCGGTGGACATGCTCTTACTAACGTGGCCGACCAGTTTGGTGACAAAATGGTATCCGGACACGCCACTCCACTTTGACAAAAATGATCTCGATATTATTTATCGAAATATTGAGAAATATCAAGTTGAGCGTGTTTAATGTCAAACTATTATTGTCGGTGAGTTTGTTGACAATGTTAATGGTCGGTCTAAAACTACGGCCGTCGTTCCGAGGCTGGGGCTGGTAGCACGCCAGCCTTGGCTCCGTCCACATGCACCTTTCGCCCCTGGGTGTCCTTGAGCCAACACAAGCCACCGTTGAGGGTATACCACACAAACGCTTTGCATCGCGGTGTCTTTTTACATTCAGCGCAGCAGGATTCAACAGTCGTCAGATTGAACGAAGCTAAGTCGCCGCCAATATAGTGCGTGTTGTCTTCCAAGGTGCCACACGTGCTTAGGTCATCGGTCGGGTTCAGGACTTGGGTGGACTCGGATGGCGGGGGAAGAATCAGGCCGCGGATGCTAGCAGCCACGGCCTCGAAGATGTTCAAGCGGCCGTGGCCAAAGAGGTTGTTGGGATACTGCGTGTTGGGAATGCCACCGCAGGTCTTGTTGGGTGGAGTTAACGTGTCCGTGTCCGCATGCTCGGTCAGGGCCCTGTACACTTGGTCGTACGAGGCGCCATTGTTGGCAGACAAGTACAAGGCGATGGCTCCAGCAACATGAGGCGCGGCCAAGCTCGTGCCAGATTGCGAGATGAAACTATCGTCACCCAAGTGTCCTGCGGAACGGATGTTTTCACCAGGAGCCGATATGTCGGGTTTGACGATTGTTTTGTTCAAGATGGAAGGTCCCAAACTTGAATCCAACGCCAAAAAATCGTTGGAGTCAGTGTGGCCGACAGCAATCACTTGAGGAGACATGCCAGGATAAGCTGAATACGTACAGCCTTCACGGCCGTGGTTGCCGTTCGCAAATACGGGAATGATTCCCGCTGCTCTCCACTTTGCAATGATATCTTCCAAAGAAAAGTTCCTGGTGTGCCTTCCAAAGCTGCCGTTGATCACATGAGGGGCCTTGCTGGGGTCGCATTTGTTGCCGTCGTTGTTGTGGGGACAAAGCAGGAATTGGGCGCATTTCACCATCATGAGTTCATTGCAACCGTTGTTGCACCATTTGCACGCAATCCACTTGGCTTTGGGGGCGACACCAATACCTTTCGTTCCCACCATAATGCCCATGACGGCAGTACCGTGGCCCCTCAGGTCGTCAGGAAGGTGGTTTGTCTTGTTGTACGGGTCGAACCAACCGTATTCTCTTCGCCAGTTTGACTCCAACGACTCATGGGTATATCGAACACCGGAGTCGATGTTGGCCACGACAATGCCTTCGCCTTCGATGCCATTGGCCCACAGAGCCGGCGCTTGGATCTGCTTGACCCCCCATGCGATGTCATCATTCACAGCACTTGCTGGTTTGTCATTGCTTTGGGTTTCACTGAGTGTCATTGTAACTGGCTCGTAAATGGATTTGACTTCCGGCAACGCCGCGAACTTGTAGACGAGGTCGGTGGGGGCGTTGTTGATGTACATGGAACATTGGATCCATGTAGTACCCACCACTTCCACAGCCGTCGATTTAACTTGGTTGGCCAGGAGCGACTTGACCGACGCCTGAGATTTTGCGGTGTGCTCCTTCAACGAATCAACCAGTGACTCGATGGTTTCGGTGCGAGACGCGCCGCTCTTGAGTCGGCGGTGGTGGGTGGTGAGGGCCTCGTCACAGTAAAATTTCACCACGATATTCGACTGCTCGGCGATTTCCAAGTTGCGATGCACTTGGACCGAGATCTTGTCCGTGGCGGCGGTGACGGCAGTGGCGGCGAGGGCGGCGAGGGCAATAAACTGGGACTGAACCATGGTGTTGTTGAGTCAATGGAAATTGCAAAATGAGACCAATGACTCTCGAGCTGGATGTAGCACTTGACTTGCCTTGCGTACCACGCTGGGAAATATGTATCAGGTCAGCTGTTGTGTGTACCAGGTCAGCTGTTGTGTGTACTGTCTGTGTACAATATGTATGGCACCGTGATTAAATCGTTAACCTGGAGCAAAAGCTTAGGTCAAGTATACGTAAGCATGATGTTGCTTAAAGTGTGCAATTCTGCAAATGAGAGATTTTCTCATCCCTAGCTTCAAGCTAGGCCTAATAAAATACTCAGAATCAGTATTTCTATTCCCCAATCTGCAAATGAGAGATTCTCTCATTTTCAGGGGCGAATAGAAATCCAGTAAATCGAAATATTTACAATGTCATTGGCTTAAGCCTTCGAATTTACTCGAGTATGATTGGCTCTACTGCAAATGAGAGTATCTTTCTTTTGGAACACCTCCCGTCCGCCGATCCTAGCGGGTTAAGCTTATGGAATGCTCAAAATCGTGTACAGTTAATTATTACTGGAATAGAAAACGTTGCTATTATTAATAATAGTAAGACGCAACAAGATTCTGACGAAATTGCCGTAATTACCAAATTCACTACTACGTAGTATATGACTTATGAGCAGCCCTTGAAGCTCAATGTACCGGTAATGTTGACATGAAGTGATATGGTCGCCACAACATTGAAGCATGTACACACAGTATTCTCGCAAACATCAGGTATGGTAGGTACTACAGTAGTACTTACTACTAGTACAGTACTAGTATTTGTTTACTCGTACACGCAGTGCAAACATCAGGTATAGTAGTACACTAGAGTACTCCGGAGTACTACTCTGGTCCGAAATAGCTGTCAAGTTAATTTTCACTAACATGTAAGTATGGTTGTGTCCGACCAACTATCTTGATTTCAGTATGGCACCCCAAAACAAACATATTCACAACCAAAATCGTAATAGTATTTTTTTAAATTGTAGCGACTACTAATGTTTGAGAATTCACTAGTGAAAATCAAATGTGCCAGCGCACTCTTAGCAAGGAGATGAGGGAAATGCTGGATTTACTGTTAACGGGATAATTAGATCTCGAGTTTACAGTTTGCTGGTCTACAAACGACGAAAATGTACGAATGTTACAAACATTGTTAAATCATCACATCATCATCAAGAAGGATACAAAGTACATTGACATATCAACCCTGTAGTCGAAGTCTACACGCCCCAGATTGGTGTCTACATAGGGTACACAACTTACTGTTAATGTACTACTGTACTAAGGGGTTTCAACGTTGAAAATGGAGAATGAACAATGGAATTACACACTTTTTTCAGGGAGTTGCGGAAGCAGGACACTACTGTAACACATTACTATGAAGTACTTATGGTCCTTGATTCCTCCAAATCATGGTGTACCATTAGAGTGATTTTCACCAAGAATCCACACGAATTTTCCAATACAATTTCCCTGAAAAGCCTTCGGGAAATATCATGTTGGAAGGTGCTTTTGCTATAGGAAAAATTCAAATTTAAGCAGGACTGCCGCTGTGTGCGTTGTTGCGGCTCTTCTGGAGCACCTACCGGTAGGGCACGGCTCCCAATCTTTAGGCATATCAACAACCCAGTGCATTAGGTGCAATGTGTGCAGTTTGTGACCTTGCATCATCCCTATATGCTGCAGTGTGCATCGCGCCGACGTTCAAACATGACCGCTTTGAGGTGGTCGATGAACACTGGGGTATAGGATGTATCTGTTGGCTGGTTTACGTTCGGCACTATACCACTGCTCGCCTACGATATCCTCGCTCATCTACTAGTGCGTCCTACCTACCGCTCATCTACG